TCAAGACCAAGAACCACCTCGCTCAGACCTGTTCCTGTTCCCAGATGAAAGTGGGAATTGCCAAGATTTAAGCCCCCCGTACCCCATGCTTCCTTCTCCTCTCATCACACCAGCCCCTAATCTGGCCCAAGAGACTGACGACTTTTGTATATTGGAAACTCCGAGCTCCAGAGGAGAGGTTGGGACGTACTCATTCTTCAAGTTAAGGCTACATATTTTTGTGTAGCCTTAACTTGAAGAGGCTACATAGCATAGTGATCGACTGTTTTTGCAAAACCTGTTTATGCCTGACTGTAAGAAAAATGTGTGTTCAGGATCGAGATCAGGAGCCGGTGGTGAAGCAGCTATCCTCGGAGCCAGTAGAAGTCAAAGACGATTACTTCAGTCAGCCTCTGGATGGAAGTGATTCCAGCCGTGGAGCCAACTTTCCCATCCCAGAGGTTCGCTACCTCATTAAGGAGATCTCTGTCATCTGGCATCTTTATGGTGGAAAAGACTTCGGGAGTGTGACCTCCATAGTTTCTCCTGCTAGAAGCCGGGGGTGAGTCATAAACTGGGTTCTGTTTAAATTTGTTAAAAGGAAGACATATTTACTTAACTCTGGTCTTTACTCTGTCTTGCAGATCTACACCTCATAGCTCCCCATCTCAAACTCCAGTGAGACAAGCGAAGGCTTCAGGGCGGGTTGGTGGTGGAAAGGGAAGGAATCCTGATGTCCTGATGGAGATTCAACTCAGCAAGGTAAAGTTATGCTGTGCAGAAATACATGTTCATTATTTTGTGAAATGCAATTTGGGGTTTCTTCAGCTTCTCTTTTACTGCTTCTTCAGGTGAGATTCCAGCACGAGGTGTACCCCCAGATCTCAGCGGTGTCTCGTCCAGCAGTGGACCAGCCAGTGTCCCGGCAGGTGTTCTCTGTGCAGGACTTGGAGATTCGAGACAGACTAGCTACCTCCCAGATGAACAAGTTCCTCTACTTGTACTCTAGCAAGGAAATGCCCCGAAAAGCCCATTCTAACATGGTGAGGCAAGCACCATACTCGTGGTAATCGTGGTAAGTTTTGTCCTGTCGTAACCATGTGTGTGCACTTTTTTTTGTCTTAGTTGACAGTCAAGGCGATGCACATGTGTCCTGAGTCAGGCCAGGCTCCCCCAGAGTGCTGTTTACGGGTCACTCTAATGCCTCTTCGCCTCAATATTGATCAGGTAAGAGTTGGGTACAAATTATTTCTCTAACCCTGGCAAACAATGAGCATTATCTTTTAAGTGATAGCTTCTTCTTTATTTGAAGGATGCACTGTTCTTCTTGAGAGACTTCTTTACAAGTCTTGCTGCTGAAGTTGAGTTTTTCTCACCACCTATTCAAGAAGGTAAGATTGCCACAAAACTGTATAATTATTATGAATCCTACTTTTATCTCATGCATCTTTAACGTTTTGTGTGTTTTAGCGGTTTGTGTTACCACAAAGAAAGTGGCTGCCCCAGAGATCTCTTGCAGCTTCTCCAAGCACGCTGGTGGGAGCCAGGATCCAGCCCCAATCATCTCGGTGCCTGCACAGAGACGACTGAGCCAAAACGGTTTCTCTACATCCAACGCAAATGACAGTGAAGCCTCTGCTTCTCCCTTCACAGACCAACCCATCTTCTTTAGGTTAGACGTTATTTTTATTGACCACTAAGCCGTTAAACTTTCCAAACTGCTTGTTTGTGTTCAGCAACCCCATGTCATCTTAACAGGGAGTTTCGATTTACTTCTGAGGTTCCCATTCGCCTGGACTACCATGGGAAACACGTGTCTATGGACCAGGTAACTGTCTAAGAGAGGACTTGATTAACTCCACGTTATGTTATGAGTGCTTCATGAATGATTTTTATGAGTACCTCGTTCCAGGGAACATTTGCAGGGATCATTTTCGGGCTGACACAGCTGAATTGTTCAGAGCTCAAACTGAGGCAGTTGTGCTACAGGCAGGGGTAAGTATACCGCAAAATGTATCTCATGAGACAATAAATTAGCAAAAACATAATTCGTACACAGTGATCCGTATTAAAGTAATACTTGTTTGTGTTTCAGATTATTGGGTGTGGATAAGCTCTTTTCCTATGCAATAAATGAGTGGTTAAATGACATAAAGACAAACCAGCTTCAAGGACTGCTGAGTGGTGTGGCACCTATTCATACTCTGGTAAAACTGGGTAAGTGTAACAGTTCAAGGGATCATCTCAGATGGTTTACTGTATTTGTTAAGAACAGGGCTGTTGCTGTACCTTGTTCTTGTTGGCCAGTTGGGATGTGCTACATGATTAAATGTTGCTTCTCTTGTTAATCAAGACATGAAATACTAGTTATTTAATCCAATTATTCAAATGTTTGTTAATGTACAGTGCACATCAACTGTCAGTTATACCTCAGCAACATTACACACTCTCTTTCCCGTGAGTGGATATAAACAAGCACAGTGAAAAGGAACACAAGTGACAGCTCTGTGAACAAGTGTGGATTTGCAGTGTTCTTATCTAGACAATAAATAGTTATTAGCAGGCCTTGTAAGCTCACACTGATGAATAAGCTGAGCAGTGTGTAACCATAATCTGCTCAGGTCTATAAACATTAACATGTAAGCTAAGCAGTGCTCGTGTTAGCTACTTGCAGCAGAATAAACTGATGTGTATTAGTTGTATTGCACATGCCAGCAATAAATGAAATTTAAGAATGCACAGGTCCAACTTTTTGTAGTTCTGATCTGACACCTTGGATATCGATAATGGTTCAAACTGCTGGAAATGCACGAATGAAAGCTGCTGCTGTAGCTAAAGAGAAGCGTCTCCAAGCTGCTGAAGCTCGGATGTTAACTTCCTATATATTGCCTCACTCTCCCATTAGCAATCGAAGCATTGCTCCTGTTGCGCAATTATTAACACAGTGTAGAACTGAACTGAATGGATTAGCTGTGGACTGTAGCACTGACACCTATAACCTTAGAACATCTTTATTACACTTTATTATTATACTTTGTCTAATATGAAAGAATAAGATTTTAAAAAATCACGATTTTTCCCAAATTGTATTTGTACAGACATTGTTTAACTTGTCAGTGAACTGACTGTTATCTTACTTTCAGACTTGTTAACTAGTCTGATTTTTGTTGTTCTCTCATTTTAATTGACTTGTAAAGGAGTTGCCTGGTGCTTGGCCCAACAACTTTGTAATTTCTGAAAAGTTCCTTGAGTCAGCATTTCCTTGTTTGACAAAATTTTCTTTATTGTTGCTGACATTTCAGAATCACCCTTAATCACTTTCTTTTTCTTTAATGAAAAACAATCTGGAACAGAAACTGCTGTGAAAGTCATTTCCAATATGAGAGCTGAGGTCAGCTTTGACTTTCAGTTGCTTTACTCCTCTGTCAATGTTGTTTTGTTTTGTTTTTTTTTTTCATATTCAGTTCACGGACTCAGGGATTTGGTCTGGCTCCCGATTGAACAGTACAGGAAGGATGGCCGGATAGTCCGTGGATTTCAGCGCGGCACGGCTTCCTTTGGAACCTCTACAGCTATGGCTGCCCTGGAGCTCACAAACAGGATGGTGCGGACTATTCAGGTAAACTGGTCCACTGCTGCTAATAAAATATTTGCATGCATTTCCTTCTGTAAAGCGCGTAGAAAAATCAATTGTCTGTTATATATAATTTTTTTTTTCTGTTTTTAGGCAGCCGCTGAGACAGCGTATGACATGGTGTCTCCAGTGCCTGATGAGAGGGACACAAAGAGGGTAAAACGGATCTCCCATTATGGACTGGCTCATCAGCCTGTTGACCTCAGAGAAGGTGTAGCCAAAGCCTACACTGTGGTGAAAGAGGTAAAACAAAACAAAAACAAATAGGAAAACCTTCAGTTCTCTGAAAGAAAAGATGTGTTAAGGACTGCACAATGTTCTCACAGGGGATCACAGACACTGCACTAACCATCTACGACACAGCCACCCGGGAGCACGAGCAGCGAGGTATGACTGGGGCAGTCGGTGGAGTTCTCCGCCAGCTTCCACCTGCAGTAGTCAAGCCACTCATTATGGCCACTGAGGCGACGTCAAATGTCTTGGGTGGGATGAGAAACCAGATTCACCCCGATGCACGTCAGGAGGAGTCGCAAAAATGGAGGCAGGGCGACGAGTAAGTGTCATTGCCTTATGGAAAACTGAAACAATGACTGTGCAGCAGCTACAGCTTAATAGGTGTGCTTTTGAACAAGGGAAAAGGTGGACAGCGAGTGCTGGTGTAAATAAAATGGTGTTCATCCTGTGGCAGTTTGAGCTACTGTGATTTTTAGCTTGTGTCAGCTTATCACATGCCTCACAGTGCCTTCATGGTCATCAGCATTGTCCAACTGTATGCGTGTAATCAAATGGATGAAGAAGGGTGAGTTTGAGCAGCACTTATAATGTTGTTGTGTATGATGCTATGTTGTAGGGTAGACCATACAAATTTAAAATGTAAAGGCTTAAGAATGAAGGAATAGGTCCTTTCATCTGCTTCATTTTCAAACAGCTGTTTACAGATTGTGTGGTTGCGTTCTCTTATCCTACTTTGTGTCAGCAAACACTAATATTCTAGGTGTAATGACCCTTAATTTATATAAGATGTACTGTATGTGGGCCTTGTCACTTACTGTAAATATTCCTAATGAGCAGCATTTCGTGCAAATATGAGAGAACAAATGTAGAAACTGAATGTGTTGCATCTTTGTAAAGCTCTGTAATCAGCACTTTTAACTGAGTTGAAGCGTAACAAGTGAGAGATGGGACGATTATCCAGACTTGTTCTAAGGTTTCACAATTGTTGTGTTGCATAATTTTCACAAAAGCTGCGGTTTAAAAAACAAAAAAAAGAAGCTGCGGTTTAAATTTAAAAACTGCTTTATTCTTACAGTCTCATGCTCACATTTTTGAATTGTTGACAAAGTGAATCTACTCAAGATCCATAAGTAAAGTCTTAATGTACTGATAATCTCATTTGTTTAGTTTTTTTTAATTATTATTAAGCTGTATGTTTATATATTGATGTCTGATGTGATCAATTGTGTTGCTAAGTCTTGATGATTATTATTATTATTTTTTCTTCCTTTTTTGGTTATGTGGTAAGAGTATTATTTCTTGTAAATATATGTACAGGTGACTCATGAATTTGTATTAAAAGCATGATGGAGAAATAAAAACGGTGAAATTACGGTGCTTGGTTGGTGTTTATTTACTTAGACTCTGGACATTTTTGTAAACCTTAGGAGTTGTGTTAGCATCATATTTCAACGTTTGCTTTATATATTTTATTCTGAAAACTATACGTCCGTCAAGTGATTTTTTATTTTATTTTGAAAGCCTAACCTCGCTAAGTTGACGTTGGCATGGCAACAGAACTGCTTCCCAAATCTCCATTGAAAAGTGTTAAGAGCGTAGACTTGGACTATTTTAAGGGGTTTAATATTTTAACTGTGTGCTGTAAAGGGTGTTGGTGATGGTGGACATAGTCGCCGACCTGAGCACTCTGTGTTTTGAGAGCGGGCTCGCTGACGATGAAAAGAAGTTACTTTACCTCCGGGCGCGCTCGGCTGGACTGACATTTTGCGGGTGCGCGCACGCAGCTTTCGTGTGTGAGCTCATTGACTCGCTAAGGTGAACTCATCCCACACGTATAGTCTTGCAGTCATTTGAGTATATTTTAATCTGAGCTGCTTCATTCATTTGTATTATAGATGTGTCATCAAAAGGCACACAGCGAAAATCAGAAAGCCAGTGGCACCAGGAGAGGACTACGACCTCCGCGTGGGTATACTTGGGATGGGCCATCTGGGAAAACAGCTGTGCCTAGCACTTCTTGAAAAGACCAAAATCAAACCCTCACATATTAAGATCTCCACTAGGAGACCAGAGTTAGCAGGTACACACGCACAAAAAGCCCAAATCTGAGAAAAATGCTTGTGATGCAGTGGATTTAAGATAAGATAACCTTTATTAGTCCCACGTGTGGGAAATTTGTTTTGTTACAGCAGTGGACAATGCAAAGTTGCATAGAAAAATTATAGAAAAAACAATAGAATAGTATATCCATAAGATACTGTACACAATAGAATATAATAAAATTAAAATAAAATACTATATACAATCGAATAAAATAGAATACAAATGCTATATACAATATGAGTATAATAATTTCTTGTGACAGAGGCTTTAAATGTCATGAAACACATAATCTTAAAGTGGTGGACCTATTTCCTTTTTATTCTGTTGTGTGTTTATAGAGCGTTACAATGGTGGATGCTCATATTAGACACGGTCAAAGCTTCAAATAATGAGCTTGTCTTTCGTTGAAGTAATCTATGTGAGGTGAAAGATCACTGTTCATGTGGCTATAAATGCTAGGTTTCCTACTGTTGGCTCCTCATGATATCACTCAGAGTGGATACCACTAATATGGTCAAACCTTCTGTTTGCAAGGGGCAGCCAATCAGAAGAAAGCTGGCTTAAGGGATGAGAAGCTAAAGCTCCTTTGTTTCAGATAGTGGGTAATCTGAGGCGTTTCCATACACTTCCTTAATGACTCTCTTCACTCTTAAATTTTTAAGCTACCCAGATGCATTTTTGATCAGATTTAAGCTAGGTTGTTGTTGTTTGTTTTGTTTTTTCAGTTATGCCCTTTTAAGACAATGAATAGTTATTGGTTGCTCGTTGTGACTCTATGGTATTCTTGAGTTAATCATTAAGCATGTGTTGGTTTAACTAAATTGCACTTGGACCAAACTTCCGTGTGTACTGATTAAAAAAAAAAGTGTTTGCTAAGATCGTTGTATGTTCTGTGTTTCAGTGGAATTTGTCCATACAGAAGTTGAATGTTTCTTTGACAATCGCAGACTGGCAGCATGGGCGGATGTTCTTTTCCTTTGCTGTCTGCCCTCTCAAATCCCAAAAGTCTGCGTTGATCTCCGCTCTTATCTGGCAAAACACTGCCTTGTGTACAGTTTCACCTCTGCCATTCCCGTCACCAGGTACAGCCACATTCACACACACATAGGACTGGTCATTTTTTGGGGGGTTGGGTCAATGAATCGCTTTCTTTTGAATTACTGTCTCAGATTAGCTAAGCTTCTTGGACACGACTACATCCTGAAGCCGAAGTATGACGTTGTCTCTTGTGACACTGTGGATGTTTGGCTGTCCTGCAGTCATGTGGCCTCAGCTATAGCAGATCCTTTGCTGATAGAAGCATCGTGTCCTCTCACAATGAAAGGTATGTCACTTCAGCATCTTTTCATTTTGTTTCATATGTGACAAAGTATTTTGCATGAGCTTCAGTTAAACAAGTTCTTTACAAGTTCTGTTCTTAGTTTGTACTTTTTGATTCCACGTGTAGGAGGTATTTCTCTGGGTCTGAACTGGGTGTGTGCGGTGCTGTATATCTTGTTGAATATCTGCACCTCTGCCAGTCTGGGATCCAGTGAGGCTCTCCTCTTAATTAAATCAATGTTTAAAGAAAAATGTGGAGACACTGTGCAATTAAATGCACACAGTTTCATCAATTCATCCTATGCATCTTCTCTTCTCTCAGATGAGTGAGTAGATCAGTGTTTGTTTGTTTTTTAAATTGTCATATATCTCATTTAAATAATAATTATATATTTCAACTTTATTCCAAAAAGGCCTTTTCCCTGGATTTCACTTATGGATGCCCAGATCAGAGAGACCCCGCTGCTGCGCTTTCTATCAAGCAGTAAATCTGTGCAACAGTGCCTCTCTGCAGCTTATAAATCCCAGATGGAGACACCAGCAAAGTGACACACTGATCAGCCACAGCATTAAAATCACTAATACGTGAACTCTGCTGGGGGAACCATGTCTCATTTTGAAAGCATACATGACAATACGAAAAATTAAAAAGTAAATAAAAGTCTGTTTAGCTTTTTGTGACCTGTCTTAAATAATGAGGCTGGTCAGTGTGCTTCCAATTCAAAATTTGTATTACTGTGTTACATTTTCAATTTTGAAAATAAGTTCATAACATGAAGGACTCACTAAAGTTTGTGAACTGTAGATATAGGTTTACTTCAGATACTTTTATGCAGTACAGTTACAGTGCTGTGCAAAAGTCTCAAGCTTTTTTTTTTCTCTTTCTCTATTAAGCCACTCAACACTGACCTATGAAACATTAAAGCATCAAAAAATGCACTCATGGATGAACAAGTGTTGTCTCTATACAGCACAGGCGACTTGGGAAAGAACCAATTTTAAGTTGTATCTGTAGCTACTTTGGTGATGGCAGCCTCTTGCAAAAAACCTGGACCTTCATCTACTGTTCACTGCAGCCTTGTCAGTAAAGATCTCAGTGGAAAGACTTCTGTCAAGAAGCCAATCTTAAATAAAGAAAATGGGGAGAAATGGCTTGTATGGCTTGTATGGCTTGTATTTGTATAGCGCTTTTACTACAGCTGAAGTATACCAAATTACACACCAAATGAACTGAAGACAGGTCCGATGGAGTAATGAATGTGATCTCCTCTGTATGTGACATACAGAGGAGATCAGGGGTGATGTCTACAGCCATCTGCAAGACACGGTGGAGGCACTGTCATAGTTTGGGTTGGCATTTAAGCCAGTTGTGTTGGGGATCTTGTTGAAATTAATGCAACAACATTAGGTTTGACTGCCAAAAGCTTCATTTTTCAGCATGACGATGATCCCACATGCACTGCCAATGCATTAAGAGCATACTACGCACAGGGGAACACTGTCAGTCATGGATCGCCTCCCCAGATCCTGGACCTCAACAATATTGAAACAGTGTGGGATTATCTTGACAGGGAATGGAACAAAAATACAGCCCACATCTAGAGAAGAGCTTTAAAGACTGCTTAAAGAAATAACAGGAAAGCTTGTCTAAGAGAGCTGTAGTTGTACAAACTCTGCTTTTGTCTTACATGTTGTCTTTCCATGTATGTACACGTTTTAGAGTACTATATCATGAGGAAAAAACACTTAAAACTGAAAAAAAAAAAAGATAGTTGTTTGATTTTGTTAAATAATCTGTGTTTATGATTTGGCTTTGGGACGTATACTTTTAGACTGGTTTAAATATTAAGCAGCGGCGTATGTCCTCAGAGGAGCTGCAGTAGGCTCCTGGTAAGGATGCAGATTCGCTGATTTTTCGAGAAAAGACGGAAGTGTCAAAAAATCCGGGTCTGTTTTTTCCTGTTGAGCAGCAGAAGCAGCAGCGGCAGCACAGTGAAGAGGTCCCTCACATGACTGCAGGGATATGGAGGCGGTTTTCCTCATGCCCTGAGTTTGATTAAACTAAAATCACATCATATTTTCGGCGCTACGTGGTGGTGAGAGAAGTTTTTGGGTGTTGTGTCCGCAGCTTCGGCTGTCCTTTTAACTGCTTGCTAGTTAGCTAGCGTGAGATATAAGCTAACAGCTAGCCTGGTTAATGAAGCTAGAGTTCCACGCACATGTAAACACAGCTCGTCGCTACTGCTTTAACTGTTAAATCAGAAGGCAATACTGCGGTCGACAGGGTTTATTATGTGAAACGGCAGCTTGTTTAGTTTAAACAGCCTGCTTTAGGAGGCTAGCTTCATCCGTCTCCCTCCCCTGTGGTTGGGAGGGGCGGGGTTTTATCTTTTTGCAGCCACGCAGACTGAGGTGTTTGCCTTCTCAGGACAGCCATGGAGAGATTAGAGGCTACATCACAGCTCCAGTCACGGCTTTCATCACTGTCTTTCTCATCTTTCCCCGGAGTAACAGCCAAACACTGCGACAACACGCCACCGGACAGGTAACCTGTTGCTGCAGAAAGTGGCTTTTAAATGGAGCTGCTATGCAGATGGGTGGTCTGAATGTTATCTAGGTTTAAAATTTCTATTCTTTCTTTACTTAAGGCTGCAGAATACAAATCTTTCAGAGAGCTTTACTCAGTCCAAAGACAGTATGGATGACACCAAGGAGGATTCAGGACGTCTTTCTGAGGTAGGTAATACTGTGTGCTTAGGTGAGCTGTAAACAAGTTGCAATAAATAGGGAAGCGTAGTCTAACAATTTAAGGCTATGTCTTTACAATAATAACCCTGATGTTGCGCATATTGAGGGTAATGAAGAGGCCCCTGCTGAGCTGGCCCTGGGGGAAGGAGGCGAGGAGAACAGCAGTGCAGGGAGCTGTCAGCTCTCCGCCGAGATGAAAGGTGAGGACCTGCAGTGTGCCATAGTGACAGCTGCTTTGTTCAGCAGTGATTCTGACTCTGCGGGTTCCTAAACGTCCCGCTAATTGCAGTGTGCGTGCACAGTATTTGCTTGAGATTTTGCCATCTTAAAATGAGTTGGATAAAGTGTTGCAGTTGCTGTCACATCTTGTTAAAGTCACTGCCGCGTGTCCCTTCTGATGGCAGCCCAGATGCCGCCCCTGAACCCCCCGACAACTTGGACATCTGCTGCTGTGAAGGAGTTAAAGGCGAAGCTCCGAACAGAGAAGGACAGCATGGTGACCGTGTACCGAGGCGACATCATGACGGTCCACGTGCCCACCGTGCCCGAAGCCAATAAAGTGTGCTGGGAGTTTGCCACAGACGGCTACGACATTGGCTTCGGTATCTATTTTGACTGGACTCCCGTGACGAGCCGGTCCATCACGGTGCATATCAGCGAGTCGAGCGATGACGAGGATGAAGAGGAGGAGCTTGAAGGTCAGGCGCCGACGCCCCTCTTTGCAATGGCAGTTGTACTTTTATGTTTTCCCCCCACTGGGGTTACGATTCAGTGTGTTGACTTTGTGGATCATGTGATTTCTGCAGGGCCCGTCGGCAACGGGGACGTCGAGAAGGGCTCCAAAACTCACACCAACTCCAACTTGTCTGAAATCCTCCCCGTGTACCGCCAGGACAGCCACCTGTCCGTGCAGGGGGGGAGCCACGAATTTCCAGGTGAAGGCACTTATCTCCTGAAGTTTGACAACTCCTACTCCCTTTGGCGAAATAAAACACTTTACTACAGGGTTTATTACAGTGCCTGAGATGCCAATTTATCGCTTATGAATGTACAATTTACTGAAGAACAATGAACTATTTTTGATTCCACACTTGTCGGGGGAGGGATGGGGGGGAGACATAATTGAAATTCTAAAATAAAATAGAAAAAAAATATATATATATAGGGATATCTATTTTTTAGCACCGTCCGCTTGTGTTGTCTCTTGTTGAATTTAAGTTTGTAATCCCACAGATTTCAAACGCTTCAGTGTCTTGCTAACATGTGTTTGAAGAAGCCTTGCATATGTGCCATTTTCCCCATGTGTGCACCGTGCTATTTGGTCAAGTGCCCATCATAAAATCTCTATTGTCTTCACCTGTAACAGATCTATGGTAGCAGTGATCAGGGAAAACCTGCACGGGTATAACTGTGTTAAATCAGCTATGATCTAAAGAAAGAAGTTTTGTTTTGTGTGCGTGTGTGTGTGTGTGTGTGTGTGAGCTTGTGCACCTTTTTTTTCTTATTATTCTTATTGCTTTGTCTTTGTTACCAACCTAACTTATTTTTTTCTTCTCTGTATTGATCCTAATCATGTGAGATTTCAGATTATGTAAATTCAGAGTATGGCGATGTCTGCTGTCACAGTGGTGTGTTGGTTTGAAAAAAATATATATATATAAATATATATATGTATATACATATATAAAGTCGAATGTACTGAAGCAAGTGGTAATCAGACTGTGCTTTTTATGACACAATTAAAAGCCATCCCTTATCACATGAAGCTCTCGTTATGTAATAAGAAAATCAATATTTACATTTGACTTGCACACTTTCATTATGTTTGGAGGTAGATTATTTTTTGTGCACAAGTCTATCTAAGAAGTATGTTACTGTTTTGTTTTTGGTCTTTTTAAAAAAAAATGATTATCTTTCTTTCCTCATTTCAATCACTCTTTGTGCATCTTCCAAAGATTTCACAGATCTGGCTGCTGATGTTGTATACAGCATACTGTAAAGCAACTGATACTGTTACTGTACTAAACCCTCACTGTAAGTTATGCTGATGGCATCAAATCCTGAAATTTCTAATTCCTCAATAAACAGACCATTGTCTCATTTCCTTTGTGGTTAATTGAGGCGATTAGATAAAACCACCATGAATCACGGTAGATTACTGGACAGCTTGAGGAAAAAAATAAATAAAAAGATGGCCAGCCAAAGCTGCGCATTTCACCCGAGTCATTTCATAACAGTCTCGCTGCACATCCAGGATTAGAAAGCACTTCAGGGTGGCCCCTTGTGTTTCCATTAAATTGTGACATAAGGGGATTGATGTAATAGTTGCACAGAGGTGCTGATGAAACCAGGTTTTATTTTCAGTTCTCCCTTAAGGCCTCTCACAATCTTAAGACGCAGCTAGTCTTACTTGGGGTTTACTGGATTTTCTTTTTAAAGAAAAATGGTCAATAATTTATGGAAAGCTACTCTCAATATCATCAAATTCATTATTTATTCAATTAACTTCACGGAAATATAAAGATTTACTAGATTCAAACATAATCCACATTATCTAAAAGCATATGATGGTCGAATGCCAGCTGTTTTAAAAAAAGGGATAATAAATACAAATGAAGATGAAATTATATTATTTTGAGAAACCCAACGTTAGCACAAATGTGAACAGTCATTGAGTTTCTGTTTCGAGGGGTGACCTTTGGAACTGTACTGACTAAATAAAAATTTGCAGCACACTCGACTGCTTAAAAAATTGCATAGGACTAACATAATTATTCAGTACTGTGATAAATGCTCCTTTTCTTTCTTTTTCATGGTTTGTCTTGGTTCTGTATGTAAATCAGAGGTTTGGGATCTAATTTTCCTTATGCGGTCATTTTTTGGTCTGGCGTCATGAGCAGGTGTTATATAAGCTGTAGCATCAACCTACACCTGTTTAGTTTGTCATTTGATTTCTTCTTTGTTTTTATCCCTTAATTTCTTGTGATATAAACAATCAGAATAAAGATGAAGATAAATATATCGATTTACTCTTGTTATTCCAAACACTACATCAGCTTGGGTCTCATTAAGTAAGAACCAGAGTGCATGGTTTCAGACTGCAAGTGGAGATGAACTATAATAGAAGCTGTTTTTAGCATTGTCGCCTCTTGGATGAAATGTTGCTCCTGAGGGTGGACAGAATAATAAAGTAATATGACACAACCACACTGCATGAACACCACAGAGCCCAAGAACTGACATGATTATATTTTGTTGGCTTAATTTGGGCCCCCTAAGTACCAAGTGCACGCCATCAAAACACCACAGCCTAACTGAATTTATTTCCTGACCATGTCCATCGCTTTACAACCACAGTGCACGATTAGTCTTTCTAATAAAAGTTCATTCACTGTTTGATCATTTCAGATATCAGCCATTTTCTACATGGCTGAAACACAAGTCTAATACACTCAGAAGTTTCTTTGTACCATATATAATTTCCCCCCCCAAAACTATAAGTGCTAACATGAGGAAAACTGTAGTAGTAGAGATGGTAGCCACGAGCCACATTTCCTGGATGGACCTCGTACCTAAGCGGCCCCACTCTCACCTACTGATGAGAGAAGCTAGAACTCTCATCTGATATTGCTATTAGTGCAGTGGAGGTTCTCACTTGATCACCAATAATACGTGAAGCAAATATGACTGAAGAAATTTGATCATGCCAATCAATTGTGTGTCTATAAAACAATGAAATGACTTTGAAAGTCTATCCAGTTAGCCCGTACAGATCCATAATAAATACTGATTGCAGATATTTGGTGTTTAGAGTTTAAATTGTAACTATTTTATTTTTATTTTTGTTATGAGACAAAGATCTTGAATTTGCTAAGCAAATGGATAGATGTTCAGTCATACACTTGACTTCCCTTTATCTAAAGACATATAGAAAGGCAGTGAGGCATCTGGAGTCCAACCAGCGGATCCACAACGGGGCCTATTTCTTAATTACTTTGACCTCTCACCTGTGCGTGTTCACCACGGCCTCGAGCTCCTCTCGGCCAATCAGAGGTTAGCACTGGAGATCTAAGTACCGCCGATGTTTGCTGCTCTCAAAACGTATTGGATCCGTAAAACAACATGGGGAGACTGAATTTTTATGTCCTTTGGTCTTTGCGTGACGCCCCCCGCCAGTTTATTAGGTATGTCGTTTGATAAATAATAATAAACATGTTGAAAGATTATTAAGAACGCGAAGAATCACTACTTGGACTCACTCTTCACAGCAAATCTAACCGGAGGTGCTTTCAAGTTCATGTCCCGCTGCCTCTTCCTAAGCAGCTGGTCATCTTCGGTCTGGGACAGTGGGAATGCAGTTTGACCACAATTTCAGTCGAGGTTCTGGTCAGTGCAGAAGTACCAGCTCAGAAAATTGGGATTCTGTCCTCTCAATTTAGGTTCGTGAAGTAGCCGCAAGGTTGTGAATTTGTAAACTAGAGTTTGCTGAGATCTCTTTGTGCTCAGGTGTCTGACTTGGGAAGGTGACTGGAGCCCTGAGATGGTCAAAGTGGCTGCAGAGAGGGGCAGGAGGGGAGTTTATGGCAAGATTTTACTCACAGTCTCTGGAGAGGTACAAAACACAAGTATTTAGCGCGACCAGATCCGAAAAAACTCACGTAGAGCTCATGTTTGTGTAGGGAAAGTCTGGGTTATTTTACTAATGGTTAAATGCAGTGGGGAATTTACATATAGCCTCACTTTAAAACACACAAACTGTTCAGGCTACAGGTTATAGCATGCAAAGGACAAATATAGCTTATCTGAATGCAATTAATCCAACTCCTGTACTGAGTAGATACAATAAGCCTAAAAGGAAGGGGAAGTTTAACCTAATATCTTATGCTGACTGCTTTTTTTTCCTACTTTTTTGTGAAAATATAAATAACTCTTGGAAAACAGAATCGGATTCCACCATTTTCACCTTGCTATAAATAGCTTTATGGCATATATCGTCATTTGATATTAATTTCTTTGTGCTATTTTCCACTCCCTGCTTTCTTTGCGTCAGAGTGCTAGGCATCATGCCTATATGTGGGATTTAAAACAAAAAAGCAGTTCGTAGCTGATATTGCATAGTGGTATTTCACTTGTTTATTTCTTGCCAAGACTTGTGACCAGCCACAGGACAACTCCAGCATCTTCAGCAGTACCCCTTTGGTTCAAAGGAAATGCTTGTTCCCCGAAGGGCACGATGTGACCGATCATTCCACCACATTACACACCCAAGATGCTGAAACTGAAACGGTGAGATAAACGGGGCCAAAATAGTTCAGTGGGAATGCACGCTTTGGTTTTCGAGCGTCATGATTGTTCAATTAATACAAATCCAGGTGACTTCTGAGACCTCACACCTGAGCGACAGGAGCGACAGGAGCGACAGCGTGTGCTTTGCTGAGATCCAAGTCAATAAAGTTGACACCAGTGACTCCGCTGTGGGGAATAAACCTCCAGTGTGGCCTACAGTGAGTGTTATCCTTAGGTGTATGTTAGTGTCTGCATGTGAGGTTAGTAACTGACGCAGGTCTGCTGTGCGCTCTGTGTGACTGGAAGGAAAAGACACCCAGACGTACAGTCATTAGTAGGAGAGGCCAACTGAGGTGGAGCTCTGAGGACGTGGACAGTCTCTCAGAGGATGTAGACCAAGCTTCGACCCCTAAGAAGATGAGGTCATCCGGGATAAACAGTCAAGATGAAATGACTGTGCTCATAAAGAGTGAGAACAGAGGAGGTCAGAGGCAAAAAGGAAAAAAATATTGGGATTACACAGGATTGCACAGAAGTGGCTTTTACAAAGATTTGTGATTAGTTTCAGCGTGTCCGTCAAAGCGTTGGTGCCACACCATGTGTCTGAGTGACCCTGATACTGCCATCCTCATTGGAGGGGAGACTTCAGAACAAAACTACTGCAAGGACTCCCTGTGGAAGCTCGAGTTGGGTCAGTGGACTTTGCTGAATATACATCTGGCCATATATGTATATTAGCTCCCTGTATCTATAAAGCATCTCACTAGAGTAAAGGTGTGTGGCACCGGTAGTGGAAGCATTTGTACTTAATCGTTACCTAAACTCTTTTCAGACGGTGACTTCTGGTTCCCGCTGAACTCCTCTGCTTCTGGACCTGAACCACCCTGTGCCCGAGGACACACTGCAACCTATGACCCAGACTCTAGAGCAGTCTTTGTTTACGGTGGCCTGAGGGAGGGTCGGCGCTACACGGAGCTGTACATCCTTAATACTCTGACCTGGAAGTGGAAGCTTGTCAATGTGGGTTTGTTGTTAACATGCTGCGTTTTCACATTCTTCAAAAGCATGTACGTGTATGTGAAACAGGCTATTTGTTTTTTCTTTTCTTTTCATTGCTGTATTTGTGGATATTTCCCATCCTTAAGGCAAAAGGCAGCGTTCCAAATTTAGCGTATCACTCTGCAGCCTTTTACAAAAAAGAGCTTTTTGTCTTCGGAGGAGTTCAGTCAAGCCTTTCCTCAGGGGATAAATCCTGCAGTAATGCTCTATACATCTTCAACCCAGAGTTTGGACTCTGGTACCAGCCCATTGTGGAAGGGGACAGACCTCTGCCTCGGTTTGGGTCAGTCTTCAGTAAATTTACTGTACCCTAAGTGCTTTCTTAATTCTCAGGAATGCTAATTTCATGCTTTTTAACAGGCACACGACTACGCTTCTGTCTCAGAAGTTGATCATATTCGGTGGACGCAAGACCGCTGCTTACTTTAACGACCTCCATGTGTTAGATCTGGGTAAGATAAAGATTCACTGACCGCCTTAGATTGAAACCGAGTGTCCAGAATTGCACTGATTCTTACATTTTTCCTACTGAGTGCAGGATTTATGGAGTACACAGCTGTGAAGAGTGGAAACATGCCACCGCTGCCTCGAGGGTGAGTAAACTAATCAACCTTGATAAATGTCATCCATGTAGCCATCTGGTTGTAGTATCCTTGGGCATCCCAGAAAGAGTCAAGTGCAGTTTTAATGTTGTTTAACACAAAATTCATCCTAGTGAGATTATTTTCTTTTAGCTGAACAGAATTCATATTTAAGAATATGTAAAGATTGGCCATAATAATGATACAGATGAAACCTCTTTATATATATAAATTGACAGGTTTCATGCAGCACTCCCAGTTTCAGACAACAAGATTTTAGTCAGTGGAGGGTGCAGTGCAATCGGAGCCCTGCAGGATGTTCACATCTTTAATACAGGTGAGCGGGTTTTTTTGTTTTTGTTTTGTTTTTTTCTTCAGTATTATTGGATTTAAAAAAATATGGTATGTTTGTTCCGGTTCAGTCCAGTGTTGTTATTTCGCACGAATCATCAATATTGATGAAATCAGCTGCTTTTTAATCGAGCTTCATTTCTTTTCTCCCCCAGATACGAATATGTGGACTTCACTGGTGTCTCCCCTGCTTTGCTCCAGGCCTCGTGCTGGACACAGCATGATGCTTTTGGGCAGCGCTATCCTAAGAGACACTGGGACACATGGACAGGGTGAAAATGTTAAAATCCAGTGTGCATTGCTGGTGTTTGGTGGGTCGGACTGCTCTGGTTCCTTTTACGATGACACAATCAAATGCACCGTGGAGATTCCTTTTGACAAATGAGTCCAAATTGGAAACAGTTTTTAGCCACCATGGCCCGTGATGTGATCAGACATGAGAAGAGCGTTTTGTCTGGAAGACTAATTCTTCTGCTTTGTGTTTTGTTGCATTGATTTTCTATTTATGTGTCTCCTGTGTGATTCTTTTACTTTATTACGTGTCTTCGAAAATCACCATCAGGCAACGCGCTGCAAACAGTGAGACGAGAGGTTTTCCACTTTGCATAGCAAATCTCTGAGCGTTGTTTTTTACACATTATTGTCCCGTACCTCTTCTCCACATATCTGTATGGTTTTTGAAGGCAAATTAAAGTCATAGTTCAATTTCATGCTAAAATACTAATAAATATTTTTTTACTTGAACCTTTCTTGTCATTTAAAGTAACTGCAGTGGAACAGAGTCACTTTTCAGTCATTTTATTTAACACAAACAACTTCTCAGTGGCTTTGTACTAAGCACGCAGATCATCAGGTGTATCTGGTTGGCGGGATGGGTGGCTCACTTGGAAAGCTTCAATCTCAAGTAAAGCTTCATTTAACCGTTTGATGGTTGGATACTTCCCCACATCCACTTTGAACCTGTAGACATTAAAAACATAGTGGTGATGCTTCCCTGTACAGGCTGTTTTGAGGTTATCATGTTTTGGGATCTCTGCCTTCTCTTGAATATAATAGAAGTAAATTGTTCTGATTTCTGGAAAGAGATGCTGCTGCTAACCTTCCAAATGTATTATTTGATGCTTTGTGGCACAAAGTGGCACAAAACTAGTTTCATCTGGTTCCATTATATTTAAAACAAGGCAGATGTTTTTATAGCCACTATCTTAAATCCTGGTCGGCTCGAACAAAACACACTAGACAGAGAAACAGCACTGCATGATAGAGGGAAAATATGTAAATTGGATTTTGTGGAAAGCATCTCTATTAAAGCAGCACTTCTATTGCAGTTTTTATGAACCTTCTCATAGCATACCTCTCTGCGTTGTAGACCTGTGGGACCAGACAGATGTCTGCCATGGAAATCTAAAAGAGAAGCAGAAAGTAAGAAGTAATCTTTGTGCTGGAAATTGTCCAGATGTTATCCTGTGATATATTCATGTTCTTACCTCATCACCTACACAGTATTTCCCTGCTGTTTGCTTCAGAATTGGCTCAAGAGCTGGGGGATAATAACGCATGCATGTAAACCACATTGGCATTTGTCTCATCACATCATGTTTCTAATGTCTAGAGCAGGGGTGTCAAATGTGGGGCAGAACTAGATTATTACTTTGGAAAGTTTGGAAATGTAAATATTAGAAGAACAGAAATGTTAGCAGTTTGTACTTCTGTGTTAAGTTCTCAGGAATGGATCACTGTTGATTTAATCATCATCGTCAGTTTTAAAAGCCTTCCTGCTTGCGACATTACAGCAAAGCAGGATGGTTAAGCTGATGAGTCACGCTTTGTAATGACAGCAAAAATGTGCACTTATAGAGGCAACTCAGAGTTCATCATCTGCTGTGTAAAACAAAGTATTTTCAGAGTGCAGTTCTCCTCATTTAAAATTAAAACGAAGCATAGAG